ATAGGTTTGAATGGGGGGAGCCTGCAGGGGCGCACCCATTGATCTTAACGGAGGTTGCCTCTCCGTGAATATTCAAAACCATGGATCTCAAGTCCGCAAGAATGGAGGGGCAACTATATATGAAAGGCATAATGATGGAGAAACATGGGAAGATGAAGAATGGAAAAGGAAATATTGGAATAATTATGAATAAGAAAATGTATTTGAATATGTAACCATGTATTGTATATACACGTGCCCCTCCACATTTGCAGCTTTGACTTTGGCGGATTTGATTAATCATGGATTTGATTAATGTGTTCGCTCTAGGAATCGCCAGGTCCTCCAGAGCAATTCTGCTGGAAGTTGACCATAGAGTTGCAGTGGAGGACCTAAAGATTCCTAGAGAAAAACACTTCTCTGGGCACTTGTAGGTCCTGCAACATGATTCTGTGGTCAAATTCTGGCAGATTTTTTTCACTTTCACAGGGGTCCTGTGCCCCTAACTCCAGCGAACGTGGAGGGACAAGTGTACATATATATTTCTACCTAATTAAATAAATATATCTTAAAAACAAAACCACACTTTCTAGACAGATTTGAGGTTCGTCCTGGCTGGGGTAATTTTCTTCTCTTTCCTACCTTCCTTTTGGACACGTTTAGCAGAGTCCTGAGCCTGGGAACTTCTTTATTGCTTTTGTGATTCACAGCCTGGAGAGGAGGAGGACTGACTCACCACCTTTAGGTCAGTCCAGCGGAAGAATTAGAGGGACTGACGTCAAGCGGAGAAAGGAAAATGACTACCTTTGGGCTCGTAAATAGAGCAGTCCTTAAGGCTGTTTCCGAACCCGGGGGGGCCCTGACCATGACCGTGGCCCAGAGTTTGGCTTCTGCCATGTTTATACTGTGCGATACTGATGACCACCAGCTATACAAAGGCAGAAGCCACAGCTGTTTGGCCATGAAGGATTTTCTGGAGTCCCGGCTGGCAAAGCCCAATGGAAGCAGGGAGGCTTTCTCCTTAGAAATAAAACACCATCAGGATGGCAACCTGTGGAAGTAACACTGGCTATATCCGCATGGCAAAACATAATCAG